ACATGTGTTTCCACTACAGCCTCATGGAAGGGGATAGCCGTGTCATGCTGTGCCGAGCCGAGCTGCTGTGGTCCCGCTTGGTATCAGGAACCGCCCCTGCCAACCCGTAACTCCCCTCAGCTGGCTCCCTGTGTTTAGCTCTCGGTACTTTTGTGGTTTGGAGTTTAGTTTCACTCTTGTGTTTCTGTTTGTAATTCCAGATATGAGCCTTATTTAGAAAGTTACCGCTAATTCTAACCGTTAATTTCCTTTGACTTCTTCACAATGAAAGTGGTGATCTGACCAGATGCTTTTATTGTGAAGAAGTCGTAAGAAATTAAATGTTTGTCACCAGGTTAGCGGAGCTTCATTAGCGATGCTATTCTTCAATAAAAACAGGTCTAATCAAACAGAAATTTTAAATTTAGCACAAGTTGCTGCCAATATTACTGTACTTGGGAATATTTTTAAGTGCAGTTTGATGTTTCTTTCACGGCTATATGGAACCAACGTCCGCACAGCCTCACTGATACTGACTGTACTTGTGTACTCATGTATTTGTCGACGCTCCCGCAGCCATGGTGTGATGTCAGCTGACGAATGAGGGCCGGGCTGAGCTCAGTTTCCTCTGCTTGCTGTGTGTGTCTTTAAACAGAGCTGTTAAATGTCCTAACACTGTCAGCTCGTCTCCAGCACCAGATTAAAAAGCTGCAGCGTCTGAACCCGCCAGACGTCCCAACACAGAAAAACTACTATTATCTGCTGTGAAATATGGCCACTGTCAGGACAGAGAGGCCCAAGCTCATCTTTATTTTGGTGGTAAAGTTTGTCTCAAAGGTGCGTCTTTTGTTTCGGATTTGTTTGTTGTTGTTGTTGTTTTTTTGTCCCTTGCTTTGACTTGGCTCTGTGTAAAGCTGACATGATTAATCAAGTAGTCGAACAAATTAATTTTCTATTAATTATTCTAACTATTTTGATAATGTGATTAAATTCACTGGTTCCAGCTTGGTTGAAAGCTGCATATCTTTTTGGGGTTTTGAACATTTGGAGATTGTTTTTGTTTTGATATTTTAAGAACAATTGATTAATCAGGCAAATAATCAACTTTAATTCATTAGTTGCTGTCCTAGCTCTGTTTAGCATCTCCACTGTTATGGCGTGTCAGTTGTTTTAGTTTCTATGCTCATTTTGAATAGAATTTCCTTCTAATGGCCTCTTGGATCCACATACTTTGGACTAAGAATGACTAAGAGGCTATTTATGTTTGATTGGCTAAAACATGCAAAACTACCAGATCTGTTAAAGATGTGAAACAGACCTCACAGACTCCAATTTATAGGTCTCTTAAAAGCTAACACTCTGAAATAGAAAGGTTGTTTTCCACTGAAACAGTACCTGTTTGAACCTGGCCAGCTCTTTTAAGGCGCGCCCCCACTGTTGCTTGTAGTGCAGCTTAGACTTGGTGGTGGACTCCAGCTTCCTCTCCAACTCCACCTTAATAATCACAGAAAAAATCATCAGTCACACACATCTGAAACAGTTATGGTTCTGGACATATTGGCGTTGTTAGTCTGCCACTGTAGACTGACAAAAGGATTAAAAGCTTAAAACAATTCCAGTAGCTTGTCTTCACTTAGTAAGACTGAATGATTATAGCCAAAGTTAAAATCACAATTACTATACTGAAAACACAATCGTCTATCTTCATCACAGGGGAAAAAACATTTGAAATGTATAGAAACTGCATAACAAATGTTGTGTTTCTCACCAAATGCATTATGTCTGCCCTTTGCATTTCCTTCCTAATATATATAATCTTTTGCAAAGATAATTTTTTTTAACATTTTAAATCCTGTACGGTTTCCATCCATGTTTACTAGCTTGCAGTCTTCTTGTTCCTTGCCTTTGTTGGCACATTCCTACATTTCTTAGTGCTGTTAGTCGGTGCAATTGTTTGAAACCCTTGGCAGGAATGTATGCCACGTCCCCCACGTGTGTGTGTGTGTGTGT